AAGAAAATTTAATCTTGTTGTACCCAAAGAAATAAATTTAACGAAGATACAAATGTAAAGTTCTTTTATTTTCAGTTGAAGAGATATGCGTGCACATATAGGGAAACTATGTCTTATTGAGAACAAATAGGATCATGTCCACCGGTAAGGTAAGCAATAAATACCTGAATAATGGACATATATTGTAAATAAAACATCCTCGTGACATAGTTTATGTTTCAATAAGAAGAGTTTCTCGGTGTCGCATATAAATCGGTCTGACAAGCTAATAGAAAACAGAAAGAACACAAAAAATTTTAACTATACATAAAAATAAATCATTCAATTGATAAGAGAGGAGAATAATGGTTGAATACTTAGAAAACGATGTCTTCATAAACGATTGGAAAAGCTGATTTTTCTTTTGGGTTTTTGAGAAGAAAAATTCACAGCGGATTGTTTTATTTATTCATATATAGACAGAATATGTCCATCAATTATTTATTTAACATGAGAGAAAAAAATGAAAAATTTAAATTAAATAATGAAGGAATCGAAAAAAAGAAAAAAGTTAGTCCATAGTATCATTGACATAAAATGACGTTCGTTTGAATAGTATTTGTTTGAGAAATAATATAAGATAAGTTTGAATTCAAAAATTGATGTAACGATCCGTTCAACAATCATTATTGTTGAGAAAAATGTAAAACACTAAGTAAGTTAGAATAAGTGAGTAAATGAAAATTCAATAGAAAACAACCAAATTTCTACTATGTCAAACTTTGGAGCCTGCATAGAAATCAATTATGGAATAAAGCGAAAGTTTACAAATATCATTTTATCAAAATAACTTGGTCAATTTCTGATTTTATATTTGGTAAAAGAACTATTTTTCCAACCCTTTCTAATTGTTTCTTCAAGTAAATTTCGTTTAACTTCGCCTTTGAATAACTAACAATAGAAACTTCTCGAACATGTCTTTGAGATGCTACCCTACTATTTGTTGTTGAGATCGATTTAAGGTTTGTTAAAGATGGCTGTTGATAAAATTATTTGTCTTCATTCAAAGGTAAGTTTTACTGAATCATTGTTGTAAACATTATAAGATAAGAAAAGAGCAAATGAAAGCAACAATAAAATAGTTCTTTTTTTTTTCTTTATTAATCAGTTTTAGCAAATATCCTACCAAGGTTTTTTTTTGTTGATTGTTTCTATCTTATCAGAACACAGTCAATAAGATATTTAATGGCTAGAGACTATTTGGATAGGTGGATATCGAATGCTGGGTTTACAACTGTAAATAATATTTATAAGGAACACTTTGTTTACGTGCAAAGTTTTAAAAAAAACTCATGATCAATTATCGATTGAACTAATTGATTTTCATTCAACATAAAATGATGAAATTCTTCATATGAGTAACATAGTATTATATAATACATAGAGATTCAAGGTTTTTTTTGTTTTTTGTAAGGATGTAAATTAGTTTACGTATGTTACAGGACTTTGACCTTATACACGATAACAATTTTTTTGTAAAATATTTAAAGAGAGAAATGAACAACTCGATCTGAAAAACAACTAATCGAAATGAAATTCTGTAATAATAAATAATTAATTTGATATTTTATTCAATTCTTAAATATTAAAAAAAACGAAGACCAGTCGCCTTTTAAAAATGTTTCTGTATCAAGCTGTTGTTTTTCTAATTTATCCTATCGATAATGTGATAATTCTTTGGCGATGCGAAAGGCTCTTCAAGATTTTAGTAATGCTGCATCTACTTCATATCTTTGACTTTTATCAACTACAAGTAGTTGTTCATATTTGAACTTATCAATACATGTATAAATATTATTATGCGGTTTTTTTGGATCTCTTTGTTCCATCTCTTATGATATCTTTCATTATGATTTATAGTACAAGCATTGACATTTCGATAGTGATTGTACATCAATAGTGATTATTGAACGTACGTGTCCAATTGCTTCATGTGGTAGAAGCGTTATGGCAGGAAAATTTTTGAACTAAACACATAAAGTCTCATCATTTTGAAAGACTCCGCTCAGATTTCCATCAATGAATTTTCGAAAAAGTGCTTGTCAATTAACGAAATAGGCAACCTTTGACCTATATGAATGACAACAAAATACTAATATATTATAAAACTATAATATCATAATTTTATTTTTATGATTTTTACTTATTAAGTTCAGATGAGTATGACATGTGACTGTAGATCTTCTCTTCAACTACTTACATCCAAACATAAAGTGTTAATAACATATCTATTATTTTTAGTGCAAAGAACACGTGCGAACTTCTGCATATGATGGATATTTCTTTTTCCTTCCTCTTTCAATAATAGATAAATCTCTTTCCCTCGCGAGATAATATATATATATAATATCTAAAGAGAAGAAAAAGAAACATTAATCTACTCAATACGCATTTATCTTCGTCTTTCTTGCTAGAATGTACAAAGTCCACTTATTATTCTTGATCATACTACTTTTTCTACTTCTTAACAGTTCTAATATTTATTGTTTCACATCCTCGCCTTGGGCCGATAGCGGTAATGTTATCGTACTCACAAATCAAAATTTCAGTTCAAAAATTAAACAATATGATGCATTATTAGTTTTGTTCTATGTTAAATGGTGTTCATACTGTCGACGAATCCATCCTGAATATGAACGAGCTGGCACCATATTATTAAAGAATACTGATTCTCCTATATATATTGCTAAACTAGATTGTACAGATGATAATGCAGCACGATGTTCAAGAAGATATAATGTTGATGGTTATCCAACATTGAGAATTTATCGTTATGGACATTTTATTGGTGAAGAATTGAATTATGGTAATCGAACAACTGATGAAATTGTTAAGACAATGAAAGCATTGAAGAAACATACCAAACAACAAAAGCAAATACATTACATTAGTACTCAAATAGATGGAGTTCAAGATGATATGAATAATAAGACAACAACAAATATACCATGTATGTGGTTTTTCGTAGGATTATTTATGATACTTTGCAAATCTATATAATATAAAAACATATTTTAAAATACTCGATAAACGAACTTTTTTTTTATTTACACATGTCATTTTCGCGTCTGATCTTTGAATCGGCATGTTAATTGTATTATAATAAACAGGCTAATTCAAAACTGTTTACGGATACAGTTCCTAGACTGAAAGGCTAGGATCTGGAATCGAAAATTAAATCCATTGTGTTGTCTATGTATCTGTCTACCTCGTGCTATGGTAGGTTTAATTTCGTTTCCATTGATTTCACAGTTTCGAATTTTTTGAGAAGCATGATTGGCAATGAGTGATAAAGTATATAGCAAAAACCTTCGACATCTTTCCTATACAGAATGTGACAGGAGTTGATGTGGCACTAAGGATTATTGGATTATATAATTATGATTTCTTGAATTAGGGAGTCTCAAATATTTCACCCGTAGGTTTTTAGGATTTCGGATTGTAGTGTTGTGACTTTTACGATCATTCAGTGTTGAATTTTTGGAACGCGACTACAGGAATTTCTACACCACAGTGTAATCGATTTTGGAACAATGCCGTCATGATCTCTGACTATAGGATTATAAATTCTTCTAACTGTGGAATTCTATATATTTTTGCAACGTCATTGTTCATCAGTCGTAAAGTGCATAGCGAGAAGCTGCAATCAGATCGTCTTGTTTCGCTTCCCAAAGACAATGACAGCGTAGTTGAGATGTCATTCTAGATCTATGCATCATTAGTTTTTCGTAATTTAAGACCATCGTATCGTTCACTTTAGAACCATTAGTTTTTGAATCACAACAGCGTAGTTTTCAGAGGTTTAGGACCATGAAATTTTCGATTTTTCAAACATCCTATTGGAACGCATCAGATCTGAACAGAATTTTCTGCTATGAAAAACGACAACTAGTGCCTCTGAGAGTACCTGATCAGAAAACTGAGAGAAACAGAATTGACTGAGATTTTTAGTATTGCAGACCTTGACAGATATTTTGATATATTAATCTATCTTATTCTTACAGACGGTATGATCGACATGGTCAAGGTTCTTGTTTACAAGTAGAATAGATTCCAAATGTTCCACGTCTTTATCCTACAATGATTACGCTGAGTCTTTCTTGAAATTCTTATAATCCAATCAAAGTCGTCATCCACATCTCATTGACCTTGTTCTGTCTTCAATGGAGGAACATATATCAGAAATTTGTTTGTGACCATTCTACAAACAGTTTTCCTAACATGAAATCCTATGATTTTTCAGTCTAGGATCCAGCGGATCTGAAATCAATGAACGTTATCCATCTCATAGACGCATAAAGAATACATGATTTACTCATCTTAGAAACCGTTTCTATGTGTTTCTAAAGCATGCTCAATACTGCTCAACGATACTTCCATGTAACGGACATAACAAAAGAATGTAGGATTTAGGAATTTCTTTCCAGGTTATAAGAACACTTCAAGCGCTTTTGTTTTTTAGCTTGATTTGCTTTTTCGGTTTTGATTTTTTCATAGATTCTCAGCTTATTGGAACTTCTTTCTTTGTCAACAAATTTAAATTTAAATGAAAGTCGAAAAAGTCTGCTTATGTGTGTCTGTTCGGATGTGAATGTGGCGATACAAACTGGATACCAATACTACACTTACACCTACATTCTCATGTATAATTGTTCTTACCATTTGATAGGTTATCTAGTTTGCAAAAAATGTTCGGTGCCTCTTATCATGTTCATATTTGAAGAACAGAACTTACAAAACTTATTATATTCAAAGTTCATTCCAAATTTCTGATTATATTATTATGCAAACAAACAAAAAAAAAACTTTTCATAAGACACGCAACGGAAAAATTTTATATATGTATATATCAATATCAAATATGCATTTCATACAAACTGAAGAAAAGAGGTTCAAGAATGAGATTACACACAAAAAAAAAAGAAACCAAAAATATAGAAAAATAGAATTATGGCTATAAATTAAGAAGTAGATAATGGTATTGGTTCAATAATAGTCGATGAAACTTGATTTTTATCATTTGATATTTTTACAGATAACGGTGTTAAATATTTCCAATGATTATAAGGAGATTCCATTGATGAACTAACACCACTAGATGAATGTGATGATGAATCTGTACTAGGTGGTGCTGAATGTTGATGTTGCTGTTGTTGATGAGTAGAATCAAGTAATGGACGAGTTGAATCATTTGATGAATGTGTACAATAATGTCCACCATTAGTTAATGATGATGAAAAATTTTGATCAGATAAATTATGTTGTTGATTAACTCCTAGATTAAAAAAAAAACAATATAATTTTTACAATTGAATTTAACAAAGATACAAACCTTTGTGAACTAATGGTGTAATAATTTCTTGTGTTGTATATTGTCGTTGACATGTACCATGATGATAATGTAAATGTCTAAAAGATTCTCCATTTATTTGAGAAGGATTACGATTATCAAATTTTTTATTATTCTTATTCGAAGACATTTTTAAAGGAAGTGTATCTGATGAACAATTAATTAAACGATGATGTACTAGACATGATGAGATAGATGGACGTTCAACTAGAATTATATAGAAAGAAATTATCAACTAAGAACTTCAATTTTTAATTTTTTCTTTTCACATACTTGTTTGTTTGTATGAACAAGTTGGTGATCGACATTCTTCATATTGACTATGACTATTAAAAGGTGTTAATGTATGATAAAAATTTTCTTGTATATTTTCATTATCTAAACGATTAATTGGATTTATATTTAAACGTATTGTACCATTTTCATTTATTATTGAATTATGTGATAAACCATGATGATAAATTTGTGGTGATTTTGTATTAGTCGGACATGTAAAAGGAATTAATTTACCATCAACAGCAACTACACCATGTTGAAAACAAGGTGTTGTAGCATAATCAGAATTTAAATTCTTATGTAAACCATCACAATAATATTCAGAATCATTAACAGATTTAACGTGAGCTAAACAATAGGAACAAAACAAAAAAAATAATTTATTTATTGATTTTTGTTTTTTTGTGAAATACGATCTAATATAGAAGTATACGATAGAAATCTCCAGTCATTCCTTACAGACTGTAGATCAATAACGGTTTGTTACAATCAGTGTTCGACATGCATCAATTTTTCGTGACCCGAGTCGGACACTAGTTACAATATATTAACTATTTCCTTATTGTATTTTTGAAGGATGAAGAATATTCTAAGCTAGAACGGATAAAACGATCTTCCTGTGATTAGTAAGAGCAACTGCATCATGTATCAAATTTTAATTATGCAAGGATTGTACTATTTTAGAAAGTTTTATTAGAACGTACCGATAAATTTTTTTTGTTGAAATAATCTTAATATACACATAGTAACGAGTATAATAATTAAAATTAATAAAATTCCAGCAATAATACCAATAATTAAATAAAGTATATCAGAACCTTTTTGTGTCGAAGTTGATGATGTTACTAGATTATGTTTCATAGGAGAAGAATGTTGAATTTTAGTAATATTTTCCAGAATTTCATCAAGATTAGGTGATGTATTTATACGAGAACGATGATGAGTTGAAACTAATAATAAATATTCTATTAAATAAAACAAAAAAAAAGAACTTTTTCAAATAGAACTTACAACTAGGAACTGATATTTCAATTGAATTACTCATTGGACTCAAACCAAGATTAGAATATGTTGTCATACGTATTTCATAAATTTGATCTGGTTCAATTGACGAGATCGTATATGTATCAACTGAAGGATAACGTAGATTTGGTATTGTTATTGTTGTAAAATTTGTTTTTGAATGTATTGGTCGATAATAAACAACAAAACCATCAACTGTTTCACTGCCAGTATTATTTAATAACTAACAAAATATAAGACTTTTCAATCATCTCAAAAAAAGCAAAAAATCAAGTATTACTAACCTGCCATTTTAATGAAATTTGTCCATCATTTGTTACCCATGCATCAGTTATTTGTGGTAACGGTGAATTTGGTTGATTTTTAATTAATTTTAATGTAAATTGCTTTGCTGCACTAATAACTAATTGTTTACCGGTAATATCAAAACCAATTAAACGAAATTTATATATTTGATCTTGTTGTAAATTATTAATAAGAGCATAATTTAATGAACGATTATAAAATTCATCTATTGTCATCCATGATGTTTTTGGATGAATTAAACGATATTGTATTTGTATAAAACTTAGATAATTTTCAATTGTTTCATTAATTTTCCAGAATAATTTAATACCATAATTATCGATTTGATTGATATCAATTATCTCTAATTTTGATACTAATTTTAACAAAAAAAAAACGAATTCATTTTCTTTAATTAAAAAACAAAAAGAAAAAGAACGAACCAGGAATATTTAATTTTAAACCTATTACATGAACAAAACATTTTGCTGCATCTATACCAAAATCAACCTTTGATGCAATACATTTATATATACCACTATCTGACTTTTGGGCTGATACAATACGTAAACCACCGGATGAAAGCATTTCATAACGACGCATTAAATTTGAATTAATTACTTCATTATTATGTAACCATTGAACAGTTGAACCAGGTTGTGTTAAACAATGAAGTTGAACTGTTTCACCTTCATAGACAGTTATATTATTTGGGCCAAAGACAATTAAAGATTTTTTCGATGGAATTTCAATTTCGAATTTTTCTAAAAAAAAAGGAAACAATTGAATTTAATAATAAAAAAAAAAAGAAAAGAAATTTTTACCTTTAACTTTATCACGATTTAGATAAACAAGAGCAGCATTTGCTTGAGCACTACCATATGGATTTCGACCAATACATTGATAAATACCTTCTTTAGGTTCATTTAATGATAGAATTCCATCTAAATTTTAATAATATTTCATTACTTAGAATGATTATATTCAATTTTACCTGTCAGTGGTGATCCATTCATTGTAAATTCTTCTCCATTATATAACCAACTAATTACTGGTTCAGGTCGACCATGAAAAGCACATTTGATTGATACAGTTTCATCTTTATTAATTTGAATTAATGAATCTGGTCGTTGAATAACTTTCGGTGGTTCTGTGAATGCAAAATATTCATTACATTCATAATCATTTTTTTCTGTAAAACACGATCTAAGAAGAGTGTTGAAGTATAGGAGTAAAAAATTTGGACCTTCGCCCACATCAGAGATGTCCATGGGAGCGCTGCCGCCAGAGCCATCGCGGCAGCGGGAACATTTGTTTTGGAGGACATTGAAAAACTGCATGAATTTAATAGAATTTCAGGGTTTACAAATGAAACATCTCGATACTGAATGAATCTGATGGACTAGTATCAATATTTCTGGTCAAATATAGTCGCAGCAGTGAAATTAGAAACACTTTTGTGAAAACCGTGGCAGCAACATTTTTTTAAAAACTGTCGCAGCGGGGCAGCGGCAGATTTTCAGTCGCGATGGACATCTCTGGTCCACACACTGTAGAGTTCAAAAAGTTTGGACCAGATGGGCTCTTCTCCACAGACCATAAAAGACATCTTAGCAACCCTCTACGCATCACAAATAGTATATCAATAATGTCTCGTTATATTATATGAACCACTTTCGTTCCATGTCGTGCCAACCGCTCTAACCGCGGTTCTTCATCTTGATTTCTTTTTATAATTCACTGCATGAATATCTTTTAAACTTTTAGAAAAAACGTTATATTTTAGTAATAATCATGCCGCTTGTATCAACCATATCGACTGCTGTCATTTAATTTTCGATTTTGAGTATTAATTAAAGAGATGGCGCTACAAAAATAGTCATTATTTAAAAGGTTTAATCAATGGGAAAAAGTGTGGTACCATCTGGAAAAGTATACTGTGACATATTAAAATCGAATTTCATGAATAGTAATCGATCTCTTCAAGACAGAAAATATTTATCTAATAGAAAAGTTATTAAAAAAAAAGGAGTAAACCCTTCGAATTGTCGGCAAAAAACAATCTCTCTCTCTCTCTCTGTGATTAGCAACGTCGTATTTCACATAAGGATTATGCTAACAGAGTTATTTTTTGTTGTCTTCATACCTAAAACTTCTAATAAAGCAGTATAAGCAATATCAGATTGACCATTTGAACTCGATGCTCGACATATATATGTTCCACGATCATCCAAACGTATATCATATAAATAAAGTGTACCATGTAAAACTTCATGTCGTCTATCAGGTAATATATCACCATATTTTTCCCATTCAATTATTGGTTTTGGCCAACCAGCAATAACACATTCAATAGAAAAATTACTTCCAACTAGAACTCTATTCAAAAAATTTATGAAAAAATAAAAATTATTTCGAATGCAAAACAAAAAAATATCCTACCTTGAAGCAACTGGTGGTTTATATACAATTGAAAATGATTGACGTTCTTGATTATTCAATGGTTTATTTAAAACTTGTAAAATTGTTCTTTGACTATTATTTACAATTTGTCCAGTTAAAGGATTTGTTGCTGAACATTGATATTTTCCTGAATCAAATTTTTTTACATCAATTATATGTAAATTTCCACTAGGTAAAATTTTATATCGATCTAACACAACAAAAAACAAAAAGATTTTTTTTTTTTTGAATGAATATTTTGTATTAATATACTTGAATTCAATTCAATTTCTATACGATTATTATCTAGATGAAAAATTGGTATTGGTCTTGGATTTCCATTAGGTAATTCACATGGTATAACAGCAATATTTCCTTCAGTTATATTTAAGATATGATTTCCATTAATTGATATTTTAAATGGATCTAAAGCTAGAAAAAAGAGATATTTTAATAATTAATTCTTTTTCATTGACAAAAAAATCACGTTCTTCAATGAGAACAGATGGATTATTTATTCATATATACATTCTCTCTCTACATATGCAATTCAATTGACTCCTTTTTTCTTTTGTCTTTTCAAACATCTCTTATATTCTCAATTAACTACTTCATCGTTGACTAAGTATTTGTGATGATTAACGCTTGTCGATCTCACACTATGATTAGCTATTGAACAAATAATAATAACAATAATAGCAAAGCATCGTACATCTTTCCGTTGATTTCCCGCAATGTTTGCGAATGAATAGCATCGGTCATTCTTGTCTAATGTATTAGACCCATCATTTCCGAGAAATATTCACTTTTAGTGTTAAATGAATTAGAAAAGAAATAATAACAATATCCGGCTTATATATGCATGAGCAATAGTTTGAATAATATCTCGTCATTATTCATGTATATTATAAACGACATTTATTATCTTTATGTCGTAATAATCTTAGTATTAGTTTTATGATCATATGCCGAACGTGTGTGTGTATGTATCGTCGATACATTTATATTAAAACATAAATCTTGGTTTTCTTTTTTCGATAATTACAGACAATGATCATCATCTATCTCTTTGCGCTCCTTGTTTTTTAATTACAAGGCTATACATATACATCAAAATTAATGATCATTCAACCTCCCGACGACTAGTCGTTACTTATCTTTACTTCATGTCGTTCCATTATTTTGATCGAAATCGCCTATGGCTGATCATGACCTTTTTTTTTTCTTCTCCTATAATTCCATCAAGACAAAACAATACTGACAGACATTTTTTTTTGACTCATGGGAAATTGTTTCTGGTCAAAAATGGGGGTGACATTTTGCTAGATTGTTGATACATTCTACCATTATAATCTATCTGCTAAATATATATTATTCACAGGCATGATGAACTATTGTATATATGTAATACAAGTCAACAATGAGCTTCTTTCGTTACGTAAGTGATTAAGCTAGCAATGTTCTAATTGCATGAGAGAAGACATGTGTCTATATTCTCAACATTGTAATGTTTACACATCTATTGAGATTTCAGTCATTCACTCTCACTTAGAAAAAAAAACTGGGAGTCTATTTAAACAACTGCTTATATTTTCTTAATTATTTTGTATGAATTCGAAATAACCAAAAAAAACAAAACAAAAAGAATTCTCGAATCGGATCTTCAACAAGATGATTTTACACTTCATCACACATATTTTTTATAGATTAATAATCAATAAGTCTTGCTTTTTTGTTTCATCGTGTGTGCAGACAATCAGACAAAGGAATAGAATCAAATTAACTAGAGTAACCATTACTATCGCTTTGACCGGAGGGACGATAGACTATTTTAATGAGTCATGAAAGGTGCTAGTACTCTGTTATCGATTGATTATTATTTTATACATAGACCAAATGAAATAATAATCAAAGGAAAAAAAAGAAAAGTCTCACACCTCTTCCTTAATGAACCATTTAAAATTATATCAAAAAACGATAAGAGTAAATCAATTGGGAGTACTATCATTTATGATTCTAATAATACAAAGAAAAAACAATGACTTACTTGGTAAACTTAACATAGCTGGTTCACTTTGAATTAAACCATAACGTGTTGAAACAACACATGAATAAGCACCTGGTTGTGTATATGCAGTATCACCAAATTCATATATTCGTAATTCATTTCCATGCATTTCAATAATTGATGGATTTAATTCAATACGTTGACCAATATATGTCCAATAAGCAATTGATAGAAATGGTGTATCACTACTTTCACATATTAAACGTACTTCAGATGATGAAAGTAATACAGCAGATTGTGGACGAACACGAATTTGTGGTAAACAATCTTAATTAAAAAAAAAAACAAAGAAGAAATCCATATTTCAATAATCATTTTTTTACTTACAAATAGTATTTAAATAGATTAAGACGAGAAAATAGATTAATTTCATCGTTCATATTATATTATAAATAAATCAAGAAAAGCAAAGACATCTAGAATTATGCAACATATATATTTATATAGAAAAAGTAGCAAAACATTCATTAAAATATAACAGACACATCAGATGTTCACAAAAAAAAAGAAAAGAAAGAGTAATAATAGTATGAAGATTACCAACCTAATACATAGGTTTAATGAGATCAGGTTAGACGAATGATGACCGCCTACCGTCAGCTGTTCATTCATTCATACAATCTTTATATGTATATATACAAGAGAGAAAAAAAACACGACACAGACAATCTGTAAAAGGAGATGAGGGGTGTTATTGTTGATAGTCGGTACTATAATTACAAGAACAGTAGACTATGATAGAAACATCTATATGAAAGGTGTCTATTCCCGACATTGAACATGAACTCAAAAGAATTCAATAAGTCATCATCATTACATAGAATAATTCATCCATTCTTTTTTTTTATCTCACTCGCATACACAATTTGTTTTTTGAAAACATATACCTTAAAGTTTCTACTTACTGATTATCATCATTTTTCGTGCAATGAATTATTTGAATCTATATGAAGATAATTATCAATCTTCAATAGAACATGCAATTTAAAAAAGTTGATATATTCAAAAAAACAAAAAAAAATCAGATGTGCGATAAAGTCAATCAGAATATATATTGCTAGCGGCTTAGATGAAAATACAAGACTTCAAACGTTTTCTACCCTATTAATCAAACATTAAAATCATTTGAATTTAAAAGAAAAAAAAAAGAAAAACCGAAAGAGCTATGTCTCTTTTTTTTTGTATGAAGAAGAATAAAGCAAAAAATAAAACAACCTAAACAATGTGCTATATCCAATTTAATAAACTTTTTCTAAACATGAACACACGCACATCCGCTCATTAAAGATTATGGTTAGTGACCTTCACATATTATCAACAATATAATCGACTGTTTTATGATATTTCTTGTCTTGTATATGATAGAAATGTCTAATCAATACAATATCGATGAGTAGTAGTTCTACTTACTCTTTCTCTCTCTCCTTGTTTTTGTTCTCGTCGATCAAGTTTTTTATCTTTAGAAGAAAAGTAAAAAAAACATATGCTTTTTTTTCCAATATAATAATGAACAAATTCTAATCATAAATATTCGTTGTTTTTATTGACCATCATCTTCAATCAACGAAGAGAAAGTACACATTAAATGTGAATGAACACGTCAATGGTTTTATTGAAATCGACAAGCAACCAGTAGTACGAATAATAAAAGAAAGTAGATGATGAACAAATCCTTCGTCGTCTTCTTCTTCTGTCGATATGTATGCGTATGTTTATATGTGTGTGTGTGTGTGCATTGACCTGTTTTGACGAACTAGAAGAGAGAAAGAGAGAAAGGGAAAAGAAAATCGTTCATTTTATTCGTTCGTTCGATCACTGTCGCTTCCGTACAGACATAGGAGAAAAAGAATTGAAGAGTGCAAGAGAAAAAGAAAGAAGCATTATGCTCCTCTCTATACTGCCAAATGATCGATCAATCGATCGACAGTAGCTTATCTCATCCGTAGTTTTCTTTCCTCTCGTCTTCGATCTAACTGAATAAGTCACAATCAATTTCTAAGTAGTTCCTTTAAAACGCTTAGATTCTCTACAGGTACTACTTTCTTTTGTTTAATTCAAGGCTTAAAAAAATATATATATATATATATACTTATATTCTGTTGACACATATGCAATATGTGCCTAGAAATATTTAACATGTTTTATAAAAATTGACAGATATTATTGCATAATCGAACTAACTGTTATATTCTTATTTATAATTCTAAAGAATAATTCGACATGTCAGACGATTAGAAATTATATTTTGTTGTTAATGAGTGATGTAAGTTGTCAATTGAAAAGAAGCGATAAGCACAAAATATGGAAATGTCTGCCGTTTCACATATGGACAATCGGGTGAATGTTATTTATATATATATATGATGTAAGCATAAGAGAATGATATGGATATTGTTTAATCCGTTAAAATATAAAGACTTGTCAAACAAACAAATAGACAAACTATTCATTTGTTCATAGAAAATAAATATGTATGTCGTTTTTATTTTTGTGTTTTTATTAAAAGACAACAATAGTAGTCATCTCCACCCCCTGTGGCTCACATTTTGTCCACATCAACGGTAAAGTAAATCACAATGGCTCTTAAGTCCCATTAACCCTGTACATATGATGACGGGAAAAGTTCAGCTGTCATATTAGAATGATCAATGGAAATCTGTTGCCCCATTCATTCCTCTATACGACGTACACTTGATATCGATTTACATATGGAGCATTAGACAGAAAAGAAAGAAATTAGTATACTTCAAGGTTATTTCAAGTGGACGCATACGTTTCTTGCTGACCAGATTGTGTTGTCACACTTAAAACAACAGCTTTTTTTTCAAGTAGCAACAAAAAAGACAGGAAAAATTTGATCGGCATTACTTTTGAACATCAAATACTAATAGAAGAGAAGTCTTAGAGATGTTTTTCTTTCTTTTTATTTAATGGATCATAGTTGAAAAATAATCAAAACTAAAAACATATATTACCTTGACCGTTCTTTGTCTCATTTAATCCTTGAAGTTATTTACTTTGTGAACGAGACATACACAAATACACGAGCTCTCCCCGATTGAAACATACAATATAACAATAACAATAAAACGAACGTGAATATGTCCGTGTAGGTAAGCCTAAGAGAAAAAAAAAAGAAAATTATGATTCGGAAAAAAAAGAATCGATGAACTTTTCTAAACAAAACATCATTATAAAATTCATACAGAGCACACATATGTTAAAATCTCACAACGAAGAGAAAAGAGAGAGAGTGAGAGTTTATTATCCTTCTTGAACATCTCAATAACGAGTGGAATTTCAATCTTAATGATATCCTCTCTTTTATTTTTCAAAGGAATGAGACAAGTCATTGTACACACCTTGTCAAGGACATACTCTCTTAAAGTGATGATGAAACATAGAAGAAAATCGTTGTTCAAAGTAGCATACTTCCGTACTTGACTCTTGTCATTCTTCTTTCATCCAACAATATCTTTCTTTGGTCACTTCACAAAAACGAATGATTCTTCTAGGGTATTACAATTATGTCATCGATAATAGATTAAATATTGAAAAAAGAAAAACAAAATCTCGACACTCTAAATTTTTTCTATAACGATAATCTGTTCTACGATAATGAAAGGATACGCAAGTAATTCAAGATGATACCGTACGTTATTGTCTGTTGAATATGAAATGGAAAAAAAAAAGAAAAGTTATTAAATAAAACTTGACGATAAGTCCTTCATTGATTATATAAATCCCCTTCAACATTTGAAGTACATACTTTGAAATGAAAGTTAAGAAATTCAAACTTTTCTATATGTACTTGAGAAAAGAGAAACAAAATGGTATTAGAGTTGTTAATAGAAATGATGCAACTCTCTTCATAAAACATACAAAATCATTTCTAGTATTTTTTCTTTATGTATTAAAGAACTTTTGTTCTTTATTGAAAATTTTCTTTCAACTTATACTAATGGCTTCTCTTGTGTACATGTACTGATTTCATAATCAAAGAAAAAAAAAAATCTCGCTTGACCGATATTTCAAACATGTACAGATCAATATGCAATCAATTTACTAATGAAATAACTTATTATTTTATTTTTTTAATCGAAGAAAAAGAAACGAATAATTGACCGATGACATTGTCTCTCGATCGAAGTAACAATTTGCATTCTATTCAAAATTAACTTCTTCGTCGAGGACAAAATGTCAAGTGATCGTTATAATCAATATAGTAGTTTCTCTTGGGATTGATAATAGAAAAAGTATAAATAAAAGAATGTATGTGTATATTCTATTGTTTCAATTATACAATATACATATCGTGATAATAGAAAAATTTTTTTGTTGAACAGGTGTATGATGAACGATGACAATTTATGCAAGTCTCATAGATAAAAGATTCATTTTATCATATGTCAAATCTCAAATTACGTCTTAACCAATTTATTCAATGATTGATAGACAGTATATTTATTTATGAAAATCGATCGTAAACTGTCTGACATAGTTTTTTTTTTTTGAACATATAAATTCATCCTGTAATTATTGCATGTCAATAGGATGAATTAAGACAGTTTTTTTTTCTATTAATTAATGATTTTACCTATCATCATTGCATGTTATTGTCAAAAGCCTGATAAAAATAAGCAAACGGAAGTGAACAAAAACTCATTGTTCTTGTTACCTATATAATATAGAAATAACATTGACATGCAATCGAGTACTTAAAAAAGAATAATTATGATAAAAATACAATACTAACATACTTCGATTGTGAAAAAAACTTAACCTTGAACTATACTTAAATTTATGGATTAATAATCAACTCTAGTGTAACAATGACAAATTACAGATGTTAGATGAAATGAAAATGATATAGAAAGAGAAAAGTAAAGGTCATTGTTTTTTTTTTTTATTCTGTTTGCTCATGAGAATCGACTAAGCTAGATAATATTCTCTCTGTATATTAAAATGAATTCGATATCGACTGGAATAATAGACATCATTTTTTTTTTTGTCAACATACGCACGAACGATCGACTAACGATCAATTAAGGATGATTAGTTGACTGATAGAAAAGTGGACGAATGAAGACAGACACGCACATACCAGACATGTTCAAGAATAAGTGACAATGATGACAAGATTTGTCTTTACTTCTCTCACTCTCTCTTCATACAATTCATGCATCGCACATAGACTTTTATGAACTTGTCCTTCTTCTTATAGACATATTATAAATCCTTATGACCAACTATACGTATTACAGTCAAATTATCCAAGTTTCTATATGATTACATATATTTCATTTGATACCTTCATAGCAAAATTGAATTCTCTCGTTCATTACACATTTTATATCCATATAAAATCATCACACTTCACAATTGATTAGAATGAAAACTGAAACGCAAATTGTTTGTTCATATAGCGAAACAAATGAAGAATTAGAAACGTCGTCGTCATTCAAACGTGTTTAATTACATCATACAAACAACAGAGATTTTCTTTCTTTGAATATGTACAATTTATAGATTAGCTTCTCATCTATTTCCGCATGTTTGGATAAAGCCAGTAAAACTCATAAAACGAAAAAAAAAAGAGCGTATACATATTATGCCTTCAGGCAAACTGACAATAACTCTTCGTTGTTGTTGCTCGCGCTAAAACAATTAGATGAAAAAATATATATTGTCACAGTAGTGAGAACATGCCTCAAGCTATTCAAAACTCTCTATCATTTATTCACCATATCATACCTATGTGATTTAGTACAAATAGGAAATTTATTACACTACTCTGTGATCTTCTTGCCGATATCGAATATATCAGTGATTATTCCCTCTAGGCTATTCGATGACAATAACCTTTTGCTTGAATAAATTTCATTCATATATTCTTTTTGAACAAATAAGATCAGAGAATAAAAATGTTCGGATATACAACTGATATTAAAAGATTTTCTTTGCATAATGAAATTCATGAATAAACAAATTCTAGATATATTTTTTTTTCTCTCTATATTTACATTTGAAAAACAATATATGAAATAGAGATGGATGAAAATTGAAATTTATAAGTAATATTATTTTCATTGTGTCTAAAGGGAATTAATATTTGAATGAATTTAAAATACATTCAACAATAATTCTCTTTGTAATATTAAAATCACGAATGTTTGTTGAATTTTTTCTTTATATCTACGTGTCACACTATAAAATTAACTAATGAAAACATAATTGGGCTTTTTTTTTTGTTCTTTTTTAAGAGCAATCTATTGTCTTTCTCAGTTGGTTTTTTTTTGTGAAAAATGATTCGTTCACTATTAAATAATCGACGTGTTGATTGAATGTTACGACATGAGGCAACCTAGTGTGACAAGAATATGAACAAAAATTTTGCTTCCATGTAGAGAGAAGTGTCATTTTTTCTCTTTTTTTCAAAAATTTGTTGACAACTGATCTGAGTTACATGTGATTGTGTGAAGATATTTCATTAACTCATTGTAATAGAATGAAAAATATAATTTAATATTAGATAAGATTTTGCTGATAAGACAATGATTAGAGAATTTTTCATTCAAAAAATATGTCAGAATAATTTAAAACTAAATGTATGCTTTTGTAAATAGTAGTACTTCGATAATTATATATGTAGTTATGTTTGTCGTCCTGCTGTAATGTAATTATTGAAAATTATTAAAAGAGCTTGTTGAAGTGAAGAATACTGAATGGATGGATATTAATGTAAATTCTTATATTCATTGATGTTTTTGATGACTCTCGAAATTTCCTTTACGTATCATCTCACCGCCTATGTCAATGATTGAATTCGATCATTATATACAAAAGGAAAAACGACTTTTGCAATTATTATTTTAACTTATTGAATCTTGTACAAATTTTTCTTGAATATATTTTTTTAAAATTTGGATGAATGTGAAATGTGAGAATGTTTGTCTATGAAATTTTGTTTAGAAAACTATTCGTTGATATATTCTAAAGAAAAAACACACTTACAAATGCATGTAACCCATTAATGGATATTCAATAGGACATAAATTGATTAAGTATTGTATGATCGAAGTACACATAATACATCGGTTATATAATAGAATATTGTATGTTAAATATTTATAAATAATCGTGCTATTTTTATTATTTAAATGGCATTACTTTTTTTTTTTTTTGGTAATCAAACTTCATTAGATTTGTTAATAAATATATGTATATGAAGGTTGAGAAAAAAAGAAATAGAGATACATCGCTTTCTGAATCGTAATTTCAAAGATCACATTTTTTTTAGTATTGAACCATGACATGTTATGTATTTATTACCAGGAAATTCAAATGAAATAACTATGAGAAAAATTTAATTCAGAAATAAGCATAGGAAATCGATTTTAATATAAATATAGAAATGAAATGTATATTTTTGAGGATTGGATTGAGTCGAAAAATTCATCGTGTTATTGTTAACTATTCTCAAATGCTTTATTGAGTAACTTGAATATTAGTATTAATGATTAGTTCTATAAGGTAGTTGTTTTTGATTTTTCTTTGACTTCTAAAATAAAATTAATATTAGCATGTGAGTGAAGTTCTTGTCCTCATCTACATGTACTTCACTTTCACATTCTCATCTAGATATGAGCAACATGGTTCAGATCTCTTGACCGAGATCAGGACCAATGCTTTTTTATTGGAAGTGATATTTCTTTATGGACGCATACAACTTGCGTCAAATGTTACATTGCCATCACTAATGTATTCTAAAAGTTTATGCGAAAATTATGAAATAATGATTATTTCAATATTTGCTGTTACAATTTTGATAGCCAAATTAATGCTTTTTTTTCGTAAATAATAGAGTTGTCGAACATACAAACCGTACAGAATAGACGAAATATTAGTAAATTAAGAAAATAATGAATTTCCAAGAGAAAAGATATTTCAGATCACGCGGATCGTGCAAGATGTCTCGAGCTCACTGATACTTCTAGAAAATGATATCATTGTTTTCGTCAATACATGTATCACTAAGTGCGAAGTTAGACTCAACAATTTTTTCTGATCAGGACTAAAATCGCTTGTCTCACTCATGACTACTCTCAATTCCACCCACACCCTTCCTAACCCAACCAACCTTCAAAGATATGCACTTTATTTCTATATACTTTTCATATTGAAATGATATTTTCCTGATCCAACTTCACGCCAAACTACGAATTGTATTCCTTCAATTGAATTTGTAAAAATCAATTTCAGCTATCCATGTGTCACAAAAATCGAATCATTTCTAGAGGTAAACCGCGACAATTGTCAAAACCGTTGGTTTTAATTGATACTGCAATTCATTATAAATTTCACCGATTAACCGCGGTTCACCGGTAATTTTTTCGGTAAACTTTAGAAAGCGAACGGCTGCAAAACGAAAAAAAGAACATGTATATGTATCTGTTGCATCACTTGTTTCGTTTGCTTGCTTGTTTAGAGAAAAGAATCAATATAACGATAACGAGGTTCAATTGAGAATTTATATATTTTTTATATTGAAATTTTTAATATTTATCTATTTTTGTATCGGTTTGTATTTTTATTTTTGGTTGAAATAAAAATTAGATTAATTGAAAAATAAGTGTGAAATTTAACTAAAAATATTAATGAAACAAAGAATCAAACGGTGCCGGTTAACTGCACAGAAGCATCAGTTAACCGTAGTAATAGACGCCGGTAACCGAACTGGTAAAACTGCGATAAACTGGCGATTCTTCTCCTGTTTTCATTACATGGATATACATCATAGACATTTAATCCAGACCTTTGCAGCCGTATTCTTTAATTTGTATCATTCATTTAACTGTCATAACAATTCAAAATGAAATTCATATAAATCAATGATTAATTTTATAATTCTTAATTTTAAATAGCAATTATTTTGTGACAAGTAATTCAATTGAAGAAAACTTAGATTTTTTTTGATAAATTCTGCCCGTTTTCATTATAATCTTTCGTTTTCTAGCGACATCTTTCATTCTAGCTCATGCATACTTAACTTTTTTTATCTAATATTAGATTTTATCTGGTATATATTTAAAAAAAAGAAAAACTTTTATTAAAGATTAATATAACGATAGAATGAAGTAAACATAACTTCATTTTTTGTTGTATTACATTTCATTTCGAACTGGACTATTGGTAAATAATGGAAACGTAGTATTTATTTTCGAAGTATACGAGTCTCTTTCTATTATTAGTTGTAATTTACAAATCAAAGAATGGTAGTGAAATCATTATTTTTTTTTTCATAAGGAACAAAAAAACCTGTAAAATATTAACAAAACAACAATATGATCGCAGAATATGGTTTATAATCTGTTGAAATATTTTATTCTCCTATACTAAATGAAATGCTTTTTGTATTTATCGTTAAATTATGAATAATCTTACGCGAAAAATATTTTTGATTGTTTATAAAAATAGAACAATTGCAGACAATACTTAGAATATATATTTCATGATTTTCTTTTCTAGATGTCGACAAACGATCCATCTGTTCCAATTGATGTTGATTTAACACGTTCAACGAATGGAGTATGGCTTGTAAAAATGCCAAAATATTTATCACAAATTCTTAATGATTATGGTGATGTAGCAAATAATGGTGAAATAGGACGTTTAGTTAAACGGCCAGCACCAATTGGTAAAGGATCAACAGCAACTAGTGCACGGGCACAAGATGTTTTCTTTTGTCTTAATGATCAAATTATGGAAAAAGTTAAAGAAAAAAATAAATCACAAGATTTTCAACTTCCACCACGAGAACATCGATTTTGGTAAAAATAAACCTATTATATTTTAAAATATTAAGTTTTTCAAATTATACTAAAAGATAAGATTAAATCAATTTTGAGTTTTCTTTTGAAAAATATTATTCAGAAAAGCAATTCGAAATCATGCAGAGTAAACTTTTTTTCGTATCCTATACCTCTCAACTGGCGAGAGAACATTCTCAAGTGATCTATTTCGTTTACTCCCATATTTTGTTAATATGTAGGAGGTTACTAGAATAGTATGACCTGCAAAAGTTTTCTACTTGTTGAGATAGCGGCTTTTTAGTAGATTCCTCCTGCAGTAGAGTAAGGCACGGATATAACTTGTTGTACCTGGACAAATGAGAAATAAAAGCGTTTTCGTTTTGGTTCGAATCAAAAAATCGTTAAATCATCAAGATAGATACGAAAATTTTAAATCTATTTTAAGAAATTTTCATTATTGAATTATTGAGATTAAAGATGTTACATATTTCAATATTTAAGAGTTTTTATATCTTTCTGATGTTCCAATTGTGTTTTAGAACCGCTGAACTCTAGTATAGATATCCGACCTATGATTTAATTTCCTACATATTATTCTATCTCTAGATAGTAAATTGTGTGCATTGATACAGAAGTATATAATCCTGTCTTTTGTTTTTTGTATTTCAGTTTAAGCAATATATCTGATGGTGTTCTACGTACAGTTTATACTCGTACATTAAATAATCCAAATTCTCCATTGACTGAACAAATAGCTGTTGTTGGTAAAGTTATGCAACGAGCTGAAGTACGTCCAGTTGAAAATGAACAATATATGTCAATGAAACGTAAACAATTTGAAACATCACAAGAACCAGCACGTAAAGCTCAAATGATAAGAAAGAAAACAAATATTTATGCACCTAAACGTGATCATGAAGCAAATAAACAACGTGAACGTATGAAAAAAGCTATGGGAAAACGTGTACGAAGTTCAGAAGAACATGTACTTAATCTTATATTTGATGCTTTTTCAAAAAATCAATATATTTCAATGTCAGCACTTGAAACAATAACACAACAACCAAAAAATTTCTTACAACAACTTGTTAAAAAATATTGTAATTATAATAGTGCGGTAAGGAAATATAATAAAAAAACAAACAAACAAACAAACAAAAATCAATATTTTCTTGTTTTTTTTTCTTCTTAAGGGACATACATATGAATTAAAACCACAATTTCGACATTATAGTGCATCAAAAGGAGAAACAGATGATGATGATATGGAAGATGATGATGATGATGAGGATGATAATAATAACAACAATAATAATATGGATAAAACATAAAAATTAGTTTTCTTTTTTCTTTTTTGTTATTGTTTCATATATATATGTGGATGTTTAAAGTTGTATAAAATAAAATATTTTTTATTCTAGATTGAATATTCCTATCATAAAGATGTCACCTGTAAAAGGTAGTACAAGTACAACAACAGCAAAAAAAACAACAACAACAACAACTACAACAGCAAAATCGTCTTCAAGTGGAACATTAAAAAAAGGCAAAAAGAAAATAGCCGCTGCACCACTCAAGGCTAAAACTGAAGCAAAAAAACTTGTTAATCCACTTTTTGAAAAACGACCAAAAAATTTTGGTATTGGACAAGGTAAAAAAAAAAAAAACTTTATTAATATGAAATTTTTATTGATATTTTATTTAAATAAGA